CTTCCTTCCTTCCTTCCTTCCTTCCTTCCTTCCTTCCTTCCTTCCTTGTTTGTTTTTGAGAGAGAGAGAGAGATGGCCCAAGTGAATGAGTGAGGGGCAGAGAGAAAAAGGAGAGAAAGAGAGGGAGAGAAAGAGAGGGAGAGAGGAGAGAGAGAGAGAAGCAGTGCTCACCCGAAGCGGGACTTGAACTCATGAACCATGAGATCATGACCTGAGCCAAAGTCAGATGCTTAACTGACTGGACCACCTTGGTGACTTATTATTTCTAAGAAACGTTCATTTAATTCAAACATGAGTTAACATGTTGAACGCACTGAACCCACCAGGTTCAGGGTTCAATCAAGCATGCCCACACAGGTGCTGTGTACTAAGCTTGGGTCTAAGGGCTGACATAGACTTAAAGGTCATTTAGAGCAGTTTAACTTTGGGCTAATTATCTCTGCTCTCTCAGCCTCAGTTTCCTCATCTGTAGGAAAAGGTTGTAGTAACTTAAACAGGTATTTCCATGTAATGGAGTAAGATTATGAATGGGATGCTCTTAAGTGGTTTCTGTTACATAGTTTACACCCAAAATGCAAGCTCCCATTGCGATCACGTGGCTCAGGCAATAGCAGGCGGGGGTCTGTGCTTCAAGGAGGTGAAGAATGGACCAGGAAGTCACTGGTCACCTCTATCCAGGAAACAGACTCAGGCCACAGTCTGAAGAACTGCCTGATAATGAGACATGACACTTTAGAATGATAAAGTTAGGTTTTGGAATCTCTTATCTGATATCATTAAAAGCAGGACAAATAATTTCATTATAGACTTATCTGAAGAAGGGTTTCAGATGAAAAGATTTCTCAAGTCGGATGCAAACATGTTAAAAATCCACGTGGAAAGCAATGTAATAAGTTGCCATTTGGGGGAAGTTAAAATTTGAGCAAAGCTTTGTAATTCTGGAAAAAGGCATACAGGTGACTCAAATCATATTCAGAGTAGATCTTTCATGAAATGTATTCCCCATCGGTTCTCTGGGAGATGCCTTAAAGGTGAAATGGAACAAAAATAGTTCTTGAAAAACTTGAAGTGAATTAGATTAATATTTGCATTTTATAAAATGCACTAAACCAATTTCGTCAAAAAATTTTTTGAACTACAACTGCTGCTGGGCTAAGAACATAATCTTCCTGCCAAGTTCCCAGTGGGAGCAAATTTTCATTGCAAAGTTATAAACCTCTGGGGGGCGGAATGAGAAACCCTGTGCATAATGGAAAGTGTGACACAGCCCTGATGTATGAAGGCTACCAGGTGCCGCGGTAACAGACTCTACTTAGAAATCTTCCAGCTAGGATCCTGGCCTCGAGCCTTGCAGTTTGCACACAGATTTCTAACATAGACTCCTAAGGCCAGATTCTGGGCGCAAATGGCCAACTATGTCAGGCATGGAAAGTAGAATGTTTACAGACCAACAGACACATATAAGGCACAGCTGCAGAAGCCCTTCACATCTGTTCCTCCACCCTCCGCCTCGCTTGGATTATGCTTATCTGAGTAGGGCTTTTGGGAAATTCTGAACCTCAGGAATCAAAGACCCCTCTCCCATGACATCCATGGGACCTGGTAATAATCCCACTTTCAAAATCTGCACCCCATCTACTCCTCTTCATCGTCACTGCTGCCATCCTGGTGGACAAACTCATGACGTTCACCCGGTCAAATAATCTACCTGCCCTCCCTGCCTGTATTTCTTCCTGCCTCCATTCCATTCTACGCAGATCCAACAGACCCATTTTCTTAACTGGCAATTCTGCTTGTAGTTATCTATCCCTCAAAAATCGTAACTGGCTTCCAACGCCTGTGAGGAAGGTTAATCCTCAGCCTGGCATATAAAGCCCTCAATGATTTGACCCTCATCTCTCTACCTATTGCTGCTATTATCTCCACGAGTGTGCCAAATATGCCTCTACACCTGAATGTGCCCTCCAAATATGGCTTCTACCTCTCCGTTCCTTGGTTCATGTGGTTTCTTCCACTGGGAACTCCCCGTGATGACGCCTCTGCCCATCCACACCTGATTAGCCTCCCACAGCCTGGCTCTAGTTTGCCCCTGCAAAATCTTGTCTAGCCCGTGGCTGGAAGTAATTTCATGCTTGCTCAGGTCCCAGAGGCCTCATGTACATTTCTTACGGCACTTAGCACGGTTTACATTGCACTGTTACCATCTGCATCCCTGTCTCATTCATCTTCCCAGACCATACGCTGCTTGAGGGGGAGAAGATGGTAAATTCACTTTACGTGCCTCATACCACTTAGCATAATTCGTGATAATTCTTTTTTTTTCCATGGTAATTCTGAGTAAGTGTGCTGAATGACAAAAGAAAAGGCACAATGTATAGAAAACTATTTTTAAAAAGATGCAAAGCTCCTTAAAAGGAATGTAATTTGACAAATGCTACAACACGGATGGGCCTTGAGAACATCATGCTAAGTGAAATAAGCCACACACAATAGGACAAATATCATACAATTCCACGTACGAGGCACCCAGAAGAGTCAAACCCACCGAGACAGAAAAGTAGAGTGGTGGTTGTCATGTGCTGCCAGTAGAGGGAATGGGGACTTACTGTTTAACAGGCGCTGAGTTTCAGTTTGGAATAACGCAAAACTTTTGCAAATGCACAGTGGTGATGGTTATTCAACAATGTGAATGTACTTAATGTCACTGAATTTTACCTTAAAAAATGGTAAACTTTATGTATATTTTACCACAATTTAAAAATAAATGAATAGGGGCTGTCCAACACTTCCTCTGCCTCCAGTTGAGTGTCCCATCTCCTTGGCTCCAGGTCATATCTCAATCTGTAAGTTCTGAGTTCTACCCACAGGCTCCCCGTGCTGATACCAGAGCCTGGAGCCTGCTCTAGATTCTCTAAAGTCTCTCTCTGCCCCTCCCTCGCTCATGCTCTCTCTTTCTCTCTGTCAAAAATAAATAAACATTAAAAAAAAAATAAATGAATAAGTGAGTGAATAAAAAATAATGGAAAGAGTAGGGGAAAATAAAAAGAAAAATGAAAAAACATGGAAAGCTGAGTGGTCACTTGGCTGTTGTAAAAGTATCCCTTTGAACAGAGACCCAGGGGACAGTGTGAGGTGTATAGCAGGGCTCACAGACTTGGCCACGAATGGGTCTCTGCCTGTTGGTAGCTTTGTGACCCTGTCTGTGACAGTCACCAGAATTGAAGAAACAGGCTTGCTATACAAAGCAGCCCCATCCACATCCCACTGCCCATCTTCCCACCTCAGGCTATGGTGTTCCAGCTTCCACCTAAATGAGCACTTGCAATCTTTCATTTGTATAGATTTTCTATTTCCTTTATTTTTCTGGCCTCTCATGCATTCTCTGCAATTCATACATTTTTTGTTTGTTTGTTTCTAATCTCTCGTGGTATCAGCCCAAATTGGACCCCCTGTGGCTCTGGGAGGCACTCTATCCATCACCCTAGTCTGGGTAAGTAACCTTCACTGCTTTCTGCCAGTTGCTACAGCAATCTAATATCCAATTAAGTATTTCACTGGCAAAACCATACTAGCTCGCTTTGTAGCTTTGCTTGAAGTCCAAGTAAATTATGTCCATTGCTTCACCCGGTGGGTTCATTGTCACTGACTCAAATTAATCATGCTGGTGAAACCCGACTGACTTTCTGTAAATCTATCTCTATCCAATTTGTGTGTTTCCAAGTGTTCTAGCTTAATCCCTGATCAAAGATCACAGGTTCTTTTCCAATTTAAGAGATGGGCTTATAGGTATGTGGTTATCAGTTTAATTCCTAAACTTCAAAATACACAGAGATGATGTGCCATGTCTCCTTAAGCCCTTATCTGTCTATGCTGTTTTAGTAGGAAAAAAAAGAAAAGCCTGTCACATATACTTTCTTTTACTGCCATTCCTTCTGAAATATTTCTACTTCCTCTTTGCAATTTCCTAATTATTTTTTCTCCATTATCTAAAATAGAGTCAAAAATATCTGTTCTGTTATTTCTGCTGTCATCAATTATACATGTTCTGCTTCCAGGATGTAGCATTTCTTGCTTGTTTTCCTCAGCCTCTCTAACAAACACAAAAGAATCCTTTTGTTCCTCAGAGAATTGTCTCAGCTGACACCACAGCCGTCAACACACCTCAAGGTTCATCCCTTCTTACTGTGAGATTGCTTAAGTCCTTGTATCACGTGAATGCTTCTTCCCATTGAAGGGCTGCCCTAGTCACATTCTTTTACTTTAGATTTATGGGACAGAGCCATGGTTTGAGGGGAAATTTTATGCTTGTTCTCGTTATACTCTGCTCTCATACGGCACCAATACAATACAATGAGAACTACTTCTATGAAATTCTATCAGGAAAAATTCTACCAGAAGAACCCCAGGCTTCTGCACTTTGCCAGAGCAGGAGTTGTTGCTATTTAGGTTGTGAATCAAGGAATCTAAGATCCTGAAATACTTTCTGAATCATAGAGATGTTAAAGTTAATCTTCCCTCCATTTTTAGTACTAAGTACTTTTAATTGTGTTAAAAATTTTGAAATATCAAAACAGGTAATCCCTAAACGGCATACTTGGTAGTTTCCTACTAACCAAAAACTTTCATTCCCAGTGGATAATAGGATGTTTTCCTATACTGTTTCCACACCTTTTTCCTACTGTTTTTATAGCCAGTCGGACCTAAGAACACAAGTTAAATAAATACCATCACCATCAGTGTATGAAGGCAACAGGGTGGTGAAAAGTTGGTCAGGCTGGCTATAATATTTAATATTCTGTTGAACATATGGATTATAAAAATATAAACTTGAGCAGAAATCTTCTCCAAAGACCCCTTTTCTACTTGTAAAAATGGAAATGGTTATATGAAAAACCTGCCAGAGAATTCCAGAGTGCCCATGCCCATCTGTTCCATCATTAAATTCTCCATGTTCCCTATGTGATGTGCATCCCCGGCTCCCTGGACCACCATCACCTGTCTGCATTAGCGATTTCTCCCTTTCAGATGCACTGAACAGCAGGAGCCTGCTGTTAGAAATGAGCTCCTCTAAGAGGAAAGGGCAGGAATGCAGAAGCCACAGAGATTGAGGACATCTGGCAACTGAAAAGGAATGCATAATGGGGGAGGGAGGCAGCAGTGCCAGAGCCAGTGCCTAGGGAGAGGCTGGGCAAAATGAACGATCGCTCAGAACAGTCACACAAACACCACAAATGACAGGGAAAAGAGGAGAGAGACTCAGGGTATGAAGGAAAAACTGCAGATCGATGCCTGGGGGTGGGGACGAAAGAAGGAGCCTTTGTGACCAAAAGAAAGTAAACAAGTCCCTGGACTAACTCCAGGGACAGAAGCCCTATCCCTGGAAAGCGGAGTATTACTGCAGGAAAAAAGGCTGACTCTCAGAATAAAGGATTAAGTGAATGCAGGACAAAATTTCAAAGCTTTACTAAGAGCACAACAGATGAGAGGGAAAGATAGAATGATTTTATTTGTGGGGGAGGAACACTTTTCAGAGTACTGTCTCATTTCAAAACTGGTTTTATAAGGATTAGACCTATGTAAAGCTATTTCACCTCACTATGAAAATATATAATAAATTGTGTACTTTGTACTTAGTGCACGTAGGCTGTTTAAAGTTTCTTCTTGTCCAGCTTATTTTTTGATAATTCAAATTACACGAATGAAGGCCTCAAATTTTGTGGGTACAGATGTCCATCTGAAATACAGATTTGTAAATTTAAGTCATTGGAATGTGTAACAGTTTATAGTAAGACTTCAAATCAGTAACTGAAAATGAGACCTACACTGTAACACCTCCACAAATCAGAAATTTGATTTATAAAATGCAGGTACAGAAGGAATAAAGCTTATAGAAACAATAAAACAGATGGCACTTTTAAAAACAAATGTTTATATATTTATGCATTATGTGAAAACAGTCCACTATTTTAGTGTACTTCATGATGTTTTCCTGGCCAACCACCGGTGCTTCATTTCTAATTCATATAATCCTAGCAGATAGTTGTCTTGCTAAATATATAGTTTCTCCTAACATATTCCTAGAACCCCACTGGTTGTATCAAACAGAACTACTCCCGTGTGTAATCATGATTCAAGGCCAGAATCAGTAACACAAGGCCCCTCATTCCGAGTGGAACCCAACCAACTCAGTGTCAGGAGGGGGAGTCAGGTCTCTCAGAACTTAGGCATACTCTCCTAGCTCAGAAAGAATAAAAAGAGAATTCTCTTGGTTGGCAGAATTCTCCAGCTGCTTTACAACCAGCAGGTACTTATGTAAATGTTTAATAAAAAAGGCAAAGGATGAAAGGAGGGAGCAAAAGCTGGCGATGGAAGAGAAGCAAGAAGGAAGTAGATGCGAACCAAGTTCCAGGGATTAACACATTTCATCTGGTTACAATTCTGGAGGGGATGTCTGGAGAAAATAAAAAGAGGGCTGGAGGCCTAACCCATGTAAGGAGCACAGCAAATGGTACAAGAAGGCCAGTGCTTGCCTGTTACTACAAATTCAGTTAAAATGAATTTGGAGGATGTGGAAAAATATCCTCATGTTGGAATAAATATTCCAGCACAAAGCTTGTTTGCATTTCTTCGTTTCTCCGGGAACGACAGTGAACTCACCTCTCACAAACCACAGGCCTAGACTCATTCATGACAGGGCCCAGGGATGAACATGGCTGACGAGGAGGTGGAGCGATGGGTACAGCGGAGTCCAGGGAGCTAGTCTTCCGATGAAGAGCGTCCTGGGCCACAGCAGCAGCCACGGCCACAGCGGGGGCCGGGCAGTCCCCATCGGCAGGGCAGGAGCCGGCCCTGCCGTGGGCGCCCCCTAGAGGCAGCTCAGGTCCCACTGCTCCCTGCAGAGGCAACTCCCCGCCACCCAGCTCCACTTCCAGGGTGGGTGAGGCTGGTGGAGATGCTCGGGGCTTACGTTTAGTGGACGCGCCAGAAAGCAACTTCAACAAACCCTTTTTCTCTTTCTAGGAAAAAAAAAAGTACATTAATTAGAGATGGATGGTACTGTTGTTATTGTAATCGATAGGGTGCTAGTTTTCTATTTTTGGTTTGATTTTTTTTTTTTTTTTTTTTTTTTTTTTTTTTTTAAGATTTGTATTTTTAAGTAATTTCTACACCCAACGGTGAGGCTCTACCTCACAACCCTGAGATGGGGAGACTCATGCTCTACCGACTGAGCCAGCCAGGTGCCACTGGTTTGGTCTTTTAAGATTCATTTCTATGGATATTTGGTTATTTATGATCTAGCTCCCAATTCCTTCCTGTATGATGTTAACCTGACATTTGGTTGTCTTTCCTCTCCCTTTCTGCCTGCATGTTTGTGCTTGTATGACACTCCACTGTTCATCTTCTACTGAGGCAGAAGTAGATAAAAAAGTAAAGCAAAAAAAAAAAAAAAAAAAAAAAAAAAAAAAAAAAAAAAAAAAAAACTCACCAAGTCACATCTCTGGCTTGGTGAAGACAGAAGTAGACATTTTAGGACAAAATGGAAATTTCTGATTATGGATTTAATTTCTTGAGATTATGCCTATACTGCCTCTAATTCTTATGTGCTGAACTAAACATTACTCTCCATCCATAGAGCATTTTACTCTCCATCCATAGACTTGATTCTTATCATTTATGGAGAGTAATGTCTTGATCAGGGTTAAGGACTAAAACAGTTCTCAGATGTCACCACCATGAGGAAATTTAATAAGCCAATAATGACAGAAGTCAAACCATTTCTATTGTGCAAGAATATCTTGGATTAGAAAGCCAAAACAACTCCACAAAATTTTAAATAAAGCTGCAGTATAATCAAAAACATTTTTATGTCTCTTTGCAGGCAAAAGTAGGAAAAAATTTTTCCCCAGCATCTTTCTCCACAAAAACCATCTCTAGAATCTCTTGTCTCTTTTGACACTCTTGTTCCTTGGACTGCTAGGAAAACCAGACCTAGAGCTAGGTTTTCTTCATTTCCAAACCCTGTGTCAATGTTCTTTCTGACAACCAAGCATAGACAACAATCATTTCACGTTGTTTTACTAAGATGTCAATGACATCACCAAGTCATCTGAATGGAAACATTTCAGAGGGAAATAATTCTTCAGAAAACTATAGGCAATCTGGAATCACTAAGGTCCACTAATAGAGAAATAGAATTATGAGGGGCCCACATGGAGATAGAACCCTGAGGAATTTTTCTTGAGAATATGAGTTAGTTCATACTCCATAAAAATCCCTTGGGGAAAAGGGTCTGAATCCATAAAAACACAGATCCATTAGAGACAGAACGGCAGGAAAAAGGAAGAGACAAAAGTAATGATTTAGCCAGATGACGATAAAGCATTCCAGGGAAAAAGAATCCCAGGAAACTGCAGGCCCCATTTAGAGAATACTGTTCACAGTATGAACCAACCCATGGGTTGGAAACGGGGGACAGGGAAAGATGGTGGGAGCGCTGAAGTCATCTCTGTACAGCTCAACGCAGGCTGGAGATGAGCAGAGCCAGACACTGAATCCACACCCCCCTTCTCCCCATCCCAGCCTGAGGAAGGTTCTTTGGCATTTTTCTTCAAGGCCTGGCCTTAACTCACCTTGCAGGTTTTTGCTTCATTTATTTAGCTTCTCATTTCCCAAGGGGCTACTAATACATTCCAATAAACGACCCTATAAACTTGGACTACCTGCTTGATGCCTGGACCCCATCCACCCAGTGCCTAATGCAAAGATGCATCTATTGAGCCAAGAGGCCAAGACTGAAAGAGACTGAGATGGGGGAGGAAGGGAGATGATTTAGTGAGTCCCAGGGCTAAAAGAATAAGAGAGGACATTTTGTAATTCTCAAATCATACAATGTGCGGTGAAGTGGGCCGAACAAACACCTGCCAAAGCCACAGCTATACTTCTTTAAGGGAGCCTGAGGTCTGGAGGGCCGAAAAATGAGCTGAGAAAAAATAACGTCTACACTTCTATGGGGGCAGTCAGCCACAACTTCCAGCTATTCCTGCCATGATGGAAGAAAGCACGCTCTAATCCCTGGACCCCCCACAGATCCACTGAGAACATCAAGTCCAGCGGTAAATTACAATCTCAGCAAGCCACAGCTACAGATGTTTCTTAAAAGCTCAGTTCTGGGCACTCAGAAAAATTCAGTTAACTGAATGGTGCTCAGGGAACAGCCTCTAAAGTGATTAAGAAGAAAGATGACTTGGTTCATCTAAAATGATTAAACACATTAAATACAGCTTGCTTTAATGACTTCTAAGAGATATGTTATCATCATCAGCTGATGCCGACTACCCACTGAGCAGAAGGCAGAGGATTAGGTGTTGTGACAGGGTGTGGGGGTACGGGGTGGGGGTACTAACAAGGAAAAGATGCTGCCCTAGTTCCACCCAAGTGTGCTTTTAATACCATATTTTCATGTTTTCTATGTTAGCAGAACAGTGTGCCGCTGGAGAGAGATAATTCTGCAAACACAGACACTTATCATCTAAGGGTGCCTTTGTTTTATTCAGATTCCAACAGCAGAAATGAAAATTATAGATGAATTAATAAGGACTACACTTCAGCAATTTTTCAAATGTAGTGTTAACATGCATGAAAAAGGGACATATCTTTGAACATGAACCTTAATAATTCTTCTCCTGTGGGTTTTTCAAGAAATTATTCCTAGATGGAATAATGTTTTTATACCCATAATCTTCTCTTCAGAAGATCAACTATTTGGTTCAGAAAATAATTGCCAGATGATGAGAAAGAGTAATTTCTACACGTAAAAATAATTTCTGAACATCACTAAATAGCTTTCCATTAGTCATATCATGGAGGATGAATACAAAATGGGAAACCTCGAGTTCTCCTTATCAAGCAAAAATAAATTTGATTTGAGCAACTCACGCAGCTGAAAACATTCTACCCACTGAATCTTCTTTATTCCTCTCCTTGCCTTCAGATGTACAAAGAAAGAAGCAAAAGATAAATACTCTTCCAGGACACTGTCATCAAATATCTACAGTCATATTCCCAACAATCAGTCACTATTCTTAGATAAGGCATCTCCAAAGCTTAATTCATATGATTGTCTAATAATAATCACTCACTCTTTCAACAAATATTAACTGAATGTCAAATATGAACCAACAACGCGTGAGGTTCTGGGAATACAAGAGTGAATAAGACAATAAGGGGTTCACGTTCTCTAGCAGAGACATAGACATGGCTATAAAACAGGTGCTCTGCAGAAAAATAAAGCAGGGTAAGAGGAGAGTGAATGACCAGGGGTGCTGAGATAGGGAGCTCAGGAAGGGCTTTTAAATTTTTTTAATTTTTATTTTCAAATTATTATTATTTTTTAAGTAGGTACCACACCCAACATGGGGCTTGAACGCAAAACCCTGAGATCAAGTCACTTGCAGTACCGACTGAGCCAGCCAGGCACCCAGGAAAGGCTTCTTTAAAGAAGTGAATGGTGGGGCGCCTAGGTGGCTCAGAAGGTTAAGCGTCCGACTCCAGCTCAGGTCATGATCTCGCAGTTTGTGAGTTCAAGCCCCGCATCGGGCTCTGTGCTGGAAGCTCGGAGTCTGGAGCCTGCTTCAGATTCTGTGTCTCCCTCTCTCTCTGCCCCTCCCCCACTCACACTCTGTCTCTCTCTCTCTCTCTCTCTCTCTCTCTCTCAAAAATAAATAAACATTAAAAAAATAATAAAGAAGTGAATGGAGATGGGGAAAGGCCATGTGAAATCTGATGATCAAACACCACTGGGTTCAAGAATCTTGTTAAATGCTTTTATAAAGATTTCCCCATTTATTCCTCACACTCACCTGATGCGACAGGAATCAGTAGTATTCCCATTGCCATTATTCTCTATGCTTGCCTACAATCATACTGCTAGTAAGGGGTGGAAGTGGGATAACCCGGCCTTTGCTCTTCTCTTCTGAGAGTTCGGCACAGGCAACAACTCTAGAAGCACATCTACTCCATGGAGTGATAAGAGCAGATATGTTTGCTTACGGGTTGTACAACCTAAGAGTCACTCTGAAACTGTGTGCACATCTGCACTGTCCACAGCTGGTCTGGATCCCAGCTGCTAGCACGGGCAGGAATGTGACTCCGATCACTTAACATGGACAATAACTTCTCTGTGAGAAAATGAAATGGCAAAGCTCACAGACCAACTTGGTTTGGACAGTGAAATAAGAACTGGGAGGAAGGAAAATCATGCGAGCAAAGAAAGTGATCAGTAGGGACTTTAGGACAGTGTTCAGAACAGAAGAAAACAGGTATTTATTTATTTATTTATTATTTTTTTAAGATTTTATTTTTAAGTAATCTCTATACCCAACATGGGGCTCCAACTTATAATCCTGAGATCAAGAGTCACATGCTCTTCTGACTGAATCAGCCAGATGCCCCAAAAATGGCTATTGAAAAACTAGATGGGGATGCCTAGGTGGCTCAATTGGTTAAGTGTCCAACTCTTGATTTCACCTCAGGTCATGATCTCTCTTCCTGAGATGGAGCCTGCCTCAGGCTCTGCGCTGGCAGTGCAGATCCTGCTTAGGATTCTCCCTCTCCCCTTCTCTTGCTCGCAAAATAAAAAAAATTAATAAAAATTAAAATAAAAACTGGATGGACCCTCTGCTTAAAAAAACCAAGAATAAGAGCAAAGGTCCTCAAACAGCGAATTGTTTGAAGACCTGTGCTTGGCTCCTTAAGGAAAGGAGTCAGTAGGACTTTGGGGGTGGGATGTTTGTGGTACTAAATGTTGACCTTTTTGTGGCCCGCATGTAGAAATGTCACCTCTTAGGAACAAATCCAGAATATGGGAAAGGGCATGAGAACCAATACCTACTTCTGCTAATTGGTAAAGGAAATAAATGAATATGTCAGAGAAAACTTATACTATGAAGGTAGGGGAAGGAAATGGAAGCATGTGGGAGTATAAAGTGGTGCCTCAGAGATGGTTTTTTCTCTTTTACTATGTGATGGTTAAAATTGTAAAATTAATTAAACCATTAGAGATTTAATTAGAGGCCATTAGGACTGAGGTGATTCTAAAGCCCTAGCAGCTCCCTTAGCAAACCAAACCCTAAGCCTGTAAACACCTCAAAACCTATAAGGACATCAAAACCTATAAGGACAACCAATCACAAACAGCCAACTGGGCTTTCCCCAAATAAGGCAACCACTTAAATTACAGCCAGTCAAATAACTTCCTTGCTCTGTTTTGTGTGTCCTTTACATAATTTTTGCCCCTGGTTCCTTGATAGAGTGGGTGCTGCCTGATTTGAATATGTTTTTACTCAAACTCTTAGAATTTTTAGTATGTGTCAGTATGTTTTCTAACAAAACTTAGAGAATATAAGAACAACCAATAATTGGTGCTGGAAAAAAAGATTTTATTTTCTGGATAGAAGCTTAATGTACCAAAATAATATTTACTGTATTTTGGTATATGAGGGGGAAAAAAGCATATATACACCATAGTATTAATGGCTACCTTTGATATCTTAGATCATACATAGGTGTTCTATTTGGATATTTAGACTTTCTCTCACTTTTAAATAAATATGTATTTTTTAACAATTTTATAATAAGAAAACACAACATTGTGTGTGTGTGCATGTATACATACATACACATGAGCATCTCATAAGGATTGGGAAACACATCTGCCTGGAGACTAGCTACTCAAATAATGAAGCCTTTAAATTGAATATGAAGTTAGAAAAATGTTCAGATAAAGCTGTTAAACTGATAACTGTAGAAGACATAGGGGATCTCATAGAAAGAAGAATAACAATGACAGAAAGGCCCAGGATTTCAAACAAGAAGTAACTGAGATGATGTTTGGAAATCTATTATAGTTTCAGATGCTTATTTATCAAACCACAGAATGCAGTTACCAGACAAAAATGAGCCAGAGGGGGAAAAAAACACTTTTTTTTTTAAGTCAAGGACAAAAATCACACTTCTGAGACTTTGTGAGATAAGAATTCCAAATAAAATACTGTTCAAAAAGAATAACTCAGTTAGGAGAGGGGCTGCAATAGTCCTGTGTGCACATCAAAAAGTTGTATGTCTCTGTGGAACATCAGTGGTAGGTAGCTCACTGCAGACGATTTACACATAGAGAAAAGGACAGGGAAATCGACAAGCTATCGTTTGGCAGATATACCACACACTATCTAAAGAGTTTAAGTAAATGGATGATGCTGATCACAAAATGATGAAAGAAGATGGAGATAACAAGGGAATTGTCAAATATCTAGATAGTTGTTGGAAGTCTCAACAAAAACTAGGATCTCTATAAACTTAGAATCTCTGATAGACATTTTTCTTGAATTGTTCATAATTTAATCTCACATTGGATCTAATTCTGATCAACTGGGGGAACAGTAGAGACAGGTAGGAGTGGAGTGGTTTGGATGGTGGACAGAAATATTGAAAACTTCGAAGTAAGCACCCAAAGAGAAGTTGGCTATAGTCAGATTTGAACTCTAAAGTTTAAAAGAACTGATTTTAAAAGTTCAGAGAAAATATATGCATGACCTGAAACTCAAAAGGAAAGATACTTCAAGAGCAATGGGCGGGCTCTCCAGAATGATATTCTAACCATACAACTGTAAATTATCTGAGCAGATGAAAATGTGGAGACATCTAAAGGCACTAGTGTGATCTCCCAGAGAGCAGACTAATGGGCTCAAATTTTTAAAGGACTCAGTACAAAAAGATCAAGAGAAGTGACCATAAGAAAGAACATATCATGGCCCATAACAGCTTAAACTTGAAAAAAAAGGGGGGGGGGTGGATAACCTTAAAGTTATGTTTGAAACAAGAACAGGAAAAATATAGACCTGCTGTTTGAGATGGATGGTGGTTCTCAGAAGGTATGAAGAAAGAGAAGGATAATCTTCAGACTAGAAAGAACAAATGCTGACAGGAGGGAAATGAGTGTAGATATTGGGGTTTAGAGATTTAATAATTATGTGCCAGGATGAATCACCCCAGCATACAGAGAAAATTCACAGCTGAAATGCAACTGTTCTTTTCATAAAATGCAAATAATCTTTGACAGATCCTGATGAGCCTGAGATCAGGTCAACTCAAAAGGTCAAGAAGGGCATGTGTAATCCTAATTTTCAAAAAGAATACAACAATGTTCTTTGCTGACTGTCTGGAAAATTCTAGAACAGTGTATTAAATGAAAGGAACACTGAGGAAGAGACTCCTCTAGGAGACCCTTGCTAACATGAGTAACAGCTGAAATGATGGGGAGACTGGGGAATAGTTTGGATGGGAGAATGCAAAAGACCTCTGGATTTTGACAGGCATCTCATAAGTTCTCCCATGATATCCTTATAGACATGATGGAGGAGTATAGACTAAATGACACTTGAATCATGTTAATTATGGAATTACTGATTTTATATCAACCAGGAGAATTCTCCCTGGTGGATCCGGAATACTAAATGAGGTAGTAGATTTAGGAAGGAAAATTTATAATCTGTGACATAAGTAACAGTGACAAAAACTTCAGGAATGTAGCCTTAAAAAAATAAGATAATTCTTAAATAAGTCAAGGCATCATATAGAAAGGAGATCAATACTTTCTGTGTAGCTCCTCAAAATAAAGAGAATGGAATGGCACACTTTGGAGCTAGGATACTCAAGGTCAAATAAGGTGTCCAAACAGAGACCAGTGGCCATTTGTCAAGGATAGGAACTCAGCAGAATAGCCCATTAGGTCCTGTATTAGTTGCTGCTATAACGAATTACCATAAACTTTGTGGTAAAAATCAAGTCTTAAAATTAAGGTGTCAGTAGGGCTGCATCCCTTACAGAAGCCCTACTGAAGAATCTGTTTCCTTGCCTTTTCCAGATTCTAGAAGCTTCTTGCATTTTTTGGCTTGTGGCTCCCTCCCTGAATCACTGATCTCTGCTTCTGATGCCACATTTCTTCTGGACCTGATCCCCCTGCCTCCCTTTCAGTAAGATCCATGTGATTTTACGGGGTTCACCCAGATAATGTAGAATAATCCCCTCATCTCAATTAAACCTTTAATTTAGTCATATGTATAAAATCCCATTTGCCACACAAGAAAACACATTCTCAAAATTCAGGGATTAAGTTATGGACGTCTTTGGGGAGCCATTATTCTCTCTGGCACAGGTCCCTTTCAAGCCTCAGATTTAATGAATTCTTTCCTGGGAGGGCAGAAGCTGAACAGTCTGTTAGTGACAAGGGCCCTGAGACACACTGTCCTAAAACCTTAAATTCTAAAGTACAAAACAATTCTTTAAAGATCTTGACAAAGTTGAACATGTCAGCTTGAGTACAAGTTTAATGTAGTTAATTATAAACACTGAACAGATACCAATCTTTTTCAAAAATGTTCATGTTAACCTAACAATTAAATATTAACTTTTTAGTAGGCTGTAAAGTTTATTTCCTTATAAACTCCTATTTACAGGCTTACCTAACCATTTAAATAGAGCGACATACAATACCACTGAACCAGGTGGCTCAGAGTTTATGATTAGCCTAGAGCTTCCCAGAACCTGGCTAGAGCTTTAGGAGAAAATGCATGAAATACTGAAGAAAATACAATATTTTCCTCAGGTTGTCACTTCATCTGATTATAGTACAATTATCCAGACTTTGTTATCCCTCTTAACATTTCTGTTCACATTCAATCACCATCAATTTCCTTTGCCTCCAACCACCTGTCTCCAAACCCAACCATAGGTTAGTCTTTCAAACACAGCTTTCCATTTATATTTTCTTTGAAATTCAGCCCCAAATGAGAGCTTTTTTAAACATCTATGGATTTAGAAAATAGCTTTTCACCCTTATTTCACATCAAGAGAAAAACTATCCATGCTGATTATAATCTAATATGCTGTAGGAAAAATAAACCCACAAATAACATTTTTTATCAATAATTTTAACTGCTTTGTATATTAAATACTTTTTTGCAGAACTGACTGAACAGGAAGAATTAAGGACAGCACAATGATGAAAGAATGAGTAACTAAAGGAGAAAGGAAACTCCTCCATAAGATGTAAGCTGCACAAAAGTGACTTAGTCTTATTCACTGTGGTCTCCCTAAACATCCAATATTAGGCTTGCAACTTAGTGGGTGTTTCAACGCAGAGAAACATGAATCTAGCAACGGGCGTAGTGTCTCACACATGGTGAGCACTTGAAGGACTCATTGTTCAACAACGAGTCCTTTCATTAGTTAGGATGGGACACAACATCAGCAGGGGAACAGGACGTTGGTCTTACTTTACTATCTTTATCTGGCTTGGTTGCTGAACTGTTCCCACAAGTCAATGATGCGCTGTCAGGAGAGGTGGGAAGTCCAGGAAGAATGGTCACTGTCCGACCACTGGGCTCAGTCTCCAGAGAGGCGGTGGTGATGCTCGGAGAGGTCAGTGAAGCAGTTGCAGCACAAGCCAGGGGGGCATTGACTCGACCCATATTGATGGCAGCTACGTGGGTGGCAGGGCCTGCCATTGGAGGTGGAAGTTGTGGGGAGGCCAAGGGATGATGAGGCAGGCCCACAGATGCAGGGCCTAGGCAGGCAGTGTTCTGTACCTGGATGGGCGTCACCGCTGCTGTAGGGCGTTCTTGGTTATGTGCTGCAACTAGTAGTGATGGGAGAGAAAACAGCAAAATTTGACCTTCTAATAAATGCTACTCACCAAACCATGAGTCATTTCACTGCATCAGACCATAATGAAAGGTTGCTATTGCACTTTTATAAGAAGTAATGGAAGCACAGTGGTTTAAAAGCACTTAATCTTAGCTGGGTCCTTAGACACTGTTTTCCTTCCAGATCAGCCCTTGAGTCCACTGAGAGCTTGTAAGCTTAGCGATAACCCCAGGCTGTTCAGTTAAAAAGTCTTTCCACAGATTTATGGACAAAGCCGGTCTTTGATGATACTCTACAGTGTCAGATTAGGTTGGCCTCCAGGCCTTTTGAAAATTATTCTCCATTTTCTTCAAACAAACAAACAAACAAACAAACAAACAAACAAGTAAATAAAATTATTCTTCCTTTTCTTATTAATCATCTTCCATCTTTTGGTTTTTCTGACAGAATTTACAAGTTTACCCTATCACCGTTACCCAAGACTCTTGGTAGGTTTTCAGTGCTATAAGAAGAAGAAAAGTATTTAAGATCCCATTGGGTTTAAAACAAACTTGGAATTAGGTTCATCAGAAATCATCAGCACACTAGTTCATGGAGTATGATGTAGTGGTCACACGGCTGGCATCAGGGAGATTTGAGCTCGTATGGTCTTGAATGCAGAAGCCATATTTCCAAGTCTTATTGACATTCTCAGGATCAGCCTAATTTCTTTCAGATTTTCAATCTGTAGATCAGGCTTGAATTCATGTGGGGGACAGGCTTAGCCAAAATAAGCAGATGTGAAGTGTGCCACTGACTAGACTGTGCCTGCTTCTAATTCCTAATGTTATTCATGACTTTAACATTACATCTGCTCTTCTCAACATCTGTTATAAGGGATCTGGTACTAGGCAAGCAACCCTCTTCCTGATACTTTTCAGTCTGGTCTCCTCCTTACCTGTCCTCACAGCATTACGGGCCTGGTTGACTGTCATCTGCCCAGTCATGTGCAACAAGACCTTGGCCTGAGGACTTGTCTGGATATGAGCGGCTGACACAACGGCTGTGGGGACAACACTGGGACTTCCAGCCATACCATTTCCCTGGAGCTTCTGGGCAGGCCCTCCTGCAGTGGAAGGACTGACCATAGTCACCCCTCGACTGGTCTGACCAGCAGTAGACATAGGGACTTTAGCTTGGGAAGCATTTGTCACGGCCCTGCCAAGACAGAAACACAGACAGAAAGCCCAATCCATCAGCAAAATGGGAGAGAGAACAAATAAATGCAAGAAAAATGACTCAGGGCGTTAAGACAGAACATTTTAAAGAATGAATGGAATAATTTTTAGAAAATGTAAGAATCACAAATTCAAAGTAAAGATGGCCCTGAGGGAGAGAAAGGTCTTGAAATACATTCTTAGTCATAGAAAATTATACATTGCACGCTGCTCAAGAATATTCAGTTACTGGGTTCGGCTTTCCAGATCAAGGCTCAACACCTCTTGCCTATAAGGTCCTGGATTCTTCTGCTTCAGCTCTCAAAGAAGCTGATTTGTTTGTTATTGCTGCTAGTAACATTAGCAGTTTTGTTACATTTGCATAGCTTGCTCATGGTTTTTGCCCTTCTCCCTGCTTGTTCCTAGTTCTACATCACAGAAGTGCCTGTGTACGTGCATGTGTGTGCACATACACACATGCACACACTCTTAGAATGTTCTCTCTGGCTACTCTTGACCTGTCTTAATCTCATGTATGTTTCAAGGTCCACAAATCCTGTCCTTTTAAGAAGCCTTGCCTAAGGCTTAGGCTTAAGACCTTATGTATGATTCTATTGTTTCATGTGAATTTCTTCCTTCTACAGCCCTTGATTACAAAATATGTCATTTTTAATATGTAAATTCTGTATTAAATACTCCTGATTCAGTAAAAGTTCCTTGAAAGTAGGCCCAGTGTAAAATGGTTCTTCCACATTCCTCCAGTTATCAGGATACAGCCAGCTCTAAACAAACATTTACAGGTTGAGTTAAATTAAATTAGTTCAATGTAGTTTTGTATAATGTATTTTTTTAATATTCTAAATTCGTTTAAATAACAATTCTACACATAGTAACTTTGTACTAAGTAGAAAACTTCATTAACTCAAACATCCTTATTTACTACGATAAATAACAGAGAATTTATTGCATCTCTTCAGAGACTGTTAATAATTTGTTTTTGAATGTTATGAAACTGCTTTCCTTCATTAATTTAGTCTTTTTTTGTGGTTTGGTTTGTTTTATTTCCTTTAGTTGTTGTGGTGGTGGTGGTTTATTGTTTGTTTTTTTCCTCGCCCGGGAAGGTCTATCTGCTATTTTCTGGATCCTGAATGTAGATTTAAACATATACAGAAAAGAAGGTTTATATTGATTAAAAATCTGCAAGTCAAATTAAAGCTAACATTCTGTCACCATCTGCAACAATAGTGATTTTCATTTGATTAGGCTGCTGGCCAACCTATAAATCAAGGCCAACAGCTGACAAACATGTCAGTTCATTAAGCCATTTATTTAAAATCAGGGTGTTTGAGGAATGATTTAACACAGTTAAACCTAGAGCATTTATTAAAAGCCCAGTGGCTAAAACTGGGGCTCCCTCAATGCCATTATAGGTCCTTCCATTCAGTTTCTAAGGCTACTTTCCTTAGTGACCAGAAGGTAGACTACTTTTAAATAAAGAAAATTTTGAAAAAAGAAAGAAAATTTTGTATAATTAAAGCTCTTACTTCCTAGTATCCTATAACAAGGCTTCTCAACCTCAGGGACATTCTGGGTCAGATAATTCTTTTCAGCAGGAGGCTGTGCTGTGTAATACAGGACAGTTAGCAGCATCCTTGGCTTCTATGCACTTCATGCCAATAGCAACCTCCTCCCACGTCCTCCACAGCAACAATCAGAACTGTGTTCAGACATTGCCAAATTCTCTTCAGGAGCAAAATCACCCTTAATTGAGAAGGATGAAGGATCAATGTCGTATTTCAGGAATTTTATTTCTGACTATATTATAGAAATTATTGTTGGACTTCCGAGGTAATCCCCAAGCTATTGGAATAAATACAGAGCCAGACGCATAGGCTTAAGCACTTCTTCACTGTGTGATCATACACAAGTTATTTAACCTCTCCATGCCTCCATTTTCTCATCTATTAAGTGGGGATAATAATAGTGACTATATCGACGAGTTATTTAAGGACTCAGAATTAATATGTGTCATCCATTTAGAAATCTGCCTGCCTGGCATATAGTAAGCCTTATGTAACATGTAAGTGTTAATAATATAGCTTTTGTTTATACTAAACATGATATTTTTTACTTTTGAACAGAAAAATATCGAAACTGGTTGGATCTTCGCACATACAACTTAAAACAAATACTTAAACCCCAGTACATTTATTGGTAGAAACCTACAATTTCACATATACCCATGTGAAAAGTAAGCTAAGAATTTGAGTTAGAAGAGACTTCAGCAAATATGGATAGGAGTTTTTAAAATGTTGGCTAGGTAACAGGCAATAATTATAGTGTGAGAAGGCAACTTGGATAGGCTGAAAACCATGGAAAAAAACAAAGCTTCTCTGTCTAGAACTTAGTAAGCCATTTACTCAGAACCATACCTTGTGACTGGTGCCACATAATTGCCAGGGAAAACCCCTATCTTGCTGGTATGCATCGATGTCCCTTTGAACCAGCCATCTTGGCAACGTTCAAATACTAAAAACATCTCCCCTTTTCTCAGCTCCAGCTCATCCTCTTTCCGGGGAGTGTATGGATATATAGCAACATACCTAGAATAGAAAAGAATATTTGATTTCAGGCTGAGTAACAGACAAACCCTGGCATGCTCAAAAACTCTTCCTTGGTACAAAGTCTTGAATATTTTGTACAGATATAAACAGAAAATATAATACTTAGCCTGTAAGTAGCATTGGTAACTGTCCATTGAAAGAGGTTTTGCTGCCTACATTTGAAAGACAGAGGCCTTCCTGATTAAGAACTGCCCACCTGGTCCCCCCAGTGTGAAGGTGACTATCCCACCAAATGGTATTTTCAGGGTGTGAAAGAATTAATGCCACTTCCCAAAGTGTCTAACCTGCTGCTGGGGTTTAGGGACCCACTGGGAAACTTGAGCTCTTCAAACAGCACTGGTAAGACGTGGGAAGTAGCCCCACACGAGGACATATGGCACAAAATCCTGCTGGGAGGCACAACATGCTGCTTTCCACACACAAGCTGAACCTAGAGGCTTGGGTTGCACCTGCTTTTGTATGCTCAGCCAGGAAAAATACTGAATTTGAAAAAGTCAAAAGGGAAAAAAAAGTCCAGGTCATAGAGAGTGCAAAACCACCCCACAGTGCAAGGTGACTGTGCCACCAACATATGGAAACCAGGCAGGTAACGCTAACCAATAGTTTTTGCCAGGGTTCTAAACTGTTCCATGCATAAAATCACGCAATGTAGAAGCCAAAAAATCTAGCTGTATTCTGCCATTGGTAAATGTTAACAAGACAATTAGATTTTTCTGGATACTTATGGTTGGGTCTTATAGCTTTTCCAATGCATATTTGCACTAGATCTGATTTGTGTGGAAAATGCCTTCCTGTTCCTTAGTATCCTAATGTAAGGAATGAAAACGGAGACCAAAAGCTCAAACAGGAATTGTACAAAAAGACGGCACTATGTGCATATAATATTATGAAGAAGCAAACACTATGTTTCCCTGGACTGTAAAAGGCCTCCACTCAGCAGGATGGCTGCCTACTGAGCTCATGTATTGGGCCCATTTGGTTTCAGCAGTTTCCTAATTATATGCATGACTGGGTGTAAGTTTGCAGAACACAAACCACTTTGGTGAGCCATAAGCCTGTCACCAGCTCATATCAGAAAGATGTTTCTCTACCTCTGCTGTTTGGGCTTAGTTTGAAATAAACTTTAAAGCAGTAATAAATGACACCCTCACTTACACACTGGGGCGAGTCTGAGGCCGTAAATGTGCAATCTGGTCAGTGGGTCCCACTGTGGGTCTCGGTCCCATTGAAGCAGCAGCAGCAGCAGCAGCAGCAGCAGCAGCAGCAGCAGCAGCGCCCGGAGGTGTGGAGGCCAGTAGAGGGGGTGGGGGAAGAGGAGGATTCATAGTCTGGTATGAGAAGACAGAGAGAGAGAAGAAAGAGAAGAGAGGGAGAAAACGAAAGAGAATAATAATGAATTATTTATTTACATCTTTCATGGAAGGTGGGAGGGAAAAGGAATCAGGAATCCATAGGAAAAGACTTTAATGGAATCCACAGGGAGCAGAACCAGCAGGCTACTTTGTATGAAAGCCTCCTTTAAAAAAAAACAACAAAAAAACTCATCTCTTGTTCTGCTTTAAGATCTTAGAGCCACAGCAACTTTTTCAGCAAACAGGTACGTAATGACACTTGGAAAGAGGGAAAGAAAAAAAAAAAAAGGAACAACTGCATGTAATTTTAAGATTAATGGCATTTTTAAGTATAGACTTGGATAAGAATCCAAACACCTTTGAAGAGGGCAGCTATAATGTCACACTGCTTGCTAAGACGTAATCTGTGATTGTTTCTGTAACTTGAAACTTAAACACAACACAAAACAATTTAGCTGCACTATATCTCAAACCATTCCCTCAGAAGAAAATTTCCTTTGATGCCTGGTTTCCAAACAGCCCAAACAATAGCAAGCCACAATCACTGGGAAATTGTTGCTACTTTCGCTTATTCTTTTCTTAACTTTGCCAGCTTTTGAAATTTAGTACTATCAAGCCTGGTAATCTTTAACAAGTAAACCAGTGAAAAGCTGCTGGTTCCTTTATGGGCACAGACTAATGGGGTTCTGCCTACAGGATTCCATGCCTTTTGAAAATCAATGGAGCAATTGTTACTTTCTGATCTATAAACCCCAGATGATTCTTTAGGGTCTGTATACTGAAACTCCTGGGAAAACAGGCACACAAAGACTTGCCTGAACCCCCACCTCGCCCTCCCCAAATCTTTGAACCACTAGATGTAAAAACTGAATTAAAAGAGAAATAAGGAGACTAAAGAATGCACCTAGGAAAGCATAAATGGCTTCTACATATCAGTGTATAAACACAAAAAATCCAATGATTTCTAAACATCGTTCACAACAGTCACTTTGTTTCTATTTTTTTAAATAAAAATTCACATCTCATCAACATTTGCTTCCTTCATCTGCGGATTAGCTGATTAATGTACACAGTTCTGGAAACACAATAAACTACGCAGAAAAAATTTCAGAATTCCTGACATATGTTGCAACTGTTTCACACATTGTAATTTAATTTTTTGCTGAAGTGACTTTCAGGAAGGATTTTTCCCGTACCGAAGCTGAAGGTGTTGTAGAACATTCAGTGCAGAAATAAATGAGGCGCAGCGCTGCTTACAGAGTGCTAACCTGGACAAGGCAGAGGGCAGTTCAAAAAGTTAGAACTGCATGAATGTTGCTCACATCATCCATGCAAAACATGGCAGGCAGACTTAAGATTTGTTACAACTCTGGAATTGCCTGTACTGGGGCTTAGATTCTTCAAAACCTTTAACCAGTAGAAAGTCAAGCATTCATTCCACTAGGTCTCCTCCCAGTGACAAAGTAGAGAGAAACAAAGATAATCCTGGTAAAACACTCAGTACATGTGACCTGGGCAGTTCACCGGTAATCACAACACATCAGTGGCTTGTCGGGCAGGATAACAAGTTTAGACTGTACTCAGGATAATATATGCAGACTGTAAAATTACCACTCAACCGATTTCCACTTAAATCTTCCTAAGCCCGATTTCTAAACAGCGTGGCTACGGAAATGGGGAGACCAGTGCATGTGCTCAACACGGGGCCCAACACAAACTGCTCCTAGAAATTACTTAAAATACTACCCAAGGCACAGAACCAAAAAGCTCCATTTCACACTCTAAGTAGAATTCTATTTTCAAGAGGAAAGGAAATTAAAATTGTCTGTTATGGCTTAACATTATTAAAACAGAGGCTGTACTGGGGCGCCTGGGTGGCTCAGTCGGTTGGGCGTCCAACTTCAGCTCAGGTCATGATCTCGTGGTCCGTGAGTTCGAGCCCCGCGTCGGGCTCTGTGCTGACAGCTCAGAGCCTGGAGCCTGTTTCAGATTCTGTGTCTCCCTCTCTCTCTGACCTTCCCCCATTCATGCTCTGTCTCTCTCTGTCTCAAAAATGAATAAATGTTAATAAACAAACAAACAAACAAACAAACAAACAAACAAACGGAGGCTGAACTAAATTAACCCTAAGAAGAAAAAGGCAAAACAACATCTACGGACCTGACAAAAACATGTCACATTTTGTTAACAAAATGTAAAATAAGGTCACCTCTTGTAGTTAAAAAATACAGTAAACTAATGTTTCATGTACATTCCTTTCACGGAGAGTAAGTCAGAAGTCATTTGAGGTACAGCTTACAAGAGGATATTCTGAAAGACCCCAAAGGCTGTGCTTGAGAGAAAGTGTAGTTCTCTCTCTTTTTCTGTTGTTGGAACACAGACTGTCTTAATAAAATTGGGCAGATTTTCCCGCAGTGTTGGGCTACATATCTTTGGGGAAATAGGCATTTGTGTGTGCATGTGTACTTGGGATATATGCACACAAAGACCAAAGAGAGAAAGTCTGATTAAAATCAGACTCTTAGATGTTGTTCCACCCTGTGGGGTTGGTAAAATGATAGGGCTCTGGTGAGTCCAAGGCTGTGACAGACTAGGAAGTTCTGTGGGTTGCTTTATAAACAACTTAAACTGAAATAATCTGGTGATGTGGAAGTTCAAAAGGTAATCCACTGTGTGTTGTGCTTCAGGCAGTTTGCTATCCTGCAAGACCTGAAATTTCTACAGAGCAAACCACAGCCTTCCATTCACCCAGAGCTGACCTGGAGACCTGCTTATTATTTCACAGTCCGGGCCAGCCCAGGCCCCAGAGGCCAAGGCGCACTCTCCACCAGCAGCAAAAAACATCTATGGACCTGCAAGAAGGATAGGTCACATTTTTCTAATAATATTTTGTTAACTTAATACTGTTCAGAACCAAATACCACACTTAAATGTCATTTTCACTAGACATTGCGTGCTAAATTAATAGGAACTTTGAAAAGTACTCATCACTTATAGTTTTATTTTATGGAAATGAAGCAGGTCTATGTTATCAAAGTAAAGCTGTCTATAGCTATAGGCTGGGCTGCAGAAATACTGGTGTAGAAAACTAGATGTTATTCTGATATCCATTAAAAATGAGCATCCTCCTTATGTTTCTTTAGATTCAGATCTTCTGTTTGTAGTATGTGGTAACGGTCTGAGGCAAGAATTACTATTTCTGAATAACAGTAAAAACAGGACAACAGTTCTGCTGATGTGAAATGATCATACTTTGCCATGTCCAGGTTCTCTGTTTCCCTGACCCACTGACCTTGAAAGCAGTAGAAGAAGCATGGGCTTTGGGGGCAGATAAACATAGATTCCAATCCCGGCCCAGTGTCTTAGGGCAGTCCTCAATTTCCCTCCTACGTTAGAGTGAGCACCAGAAAAGAAGTGTCCTCTCCAAGTGGACTGGATTCTAGGCCAGATGAGCCTAATTCTAGTGAGCATTGTGAGTGAAAAGTTCAAGTGCATGGGTGTGATACCCTTCCTCTCTGGTGCTCTTTCCTCTTTGTGTCCTTTGATACAACCAAAGAGTGGTTAGGTCTGGGTCTGGCTAAAGACAGGTGACAAGATCCATTAGGTCTTAAGCTTGGGCCAAGGGCTGCAGGCCACCTTACCAGTAAAGTGCTTTGCATTGGAGTTTGGGCAACAAGTACAACTGACAATAAAGGATTCATTTTCTTTCCAACTGTTCTTTAAGTGTGCATTTCCCTCATATACATTTCTACCTCCCAGAATAGAAAAGTGATGGGCAGGATAGACTCTGGGCATCTCTGGGTCCCCTGGGAAAATCCCACTGTAACACCCTCCCAATCCCAGCATCCTTTTTTTCCTCACACCTGATTTCCAAACAACCCACCTTCAACCCTACACATCAACATCTCTAAACAGCCTGAGTACTGAACTCAGACGCATGTAGACAGGCTGGTGGAGGAACAGTTCAAGCTGCTGCATGATCATGCTTCCTCAAGTCGGGAGTGTTAGCAATTTCAGCAGCATTACCACCTGCATACAGCAGTGTTTGTGCAATTATGTGATTAGCTGGTTTTATTTTATGACAATAAGCAGGAAGTAGAAAAGTGGAAGTACTGACACCAGCGATCAAAAAACAAAAACAAAACAAAACAAAAAAACTTAGTGGTATCAGAATTCAATAAAATTAAGATAAAGATGGAAGGTCCCTAGGTCTTAAGTCTCAACTGGATGCTCATTGGAATTAAGCCAGTCAGTTGTGGGTACAGCTATGAAGAAAAAGGAATAAAATTTAAAAATATATTTAAAAAATACTAGAAATCGATGCTTAGATGATTATGTCTAAAGGGAAAGATGTAATTAAGAATTTGGTAATTTTTAAAAATCTCTCCAGGAATGGAATTTCCCTCATAAATTATAGATTTATTGTTCTACATTTGATTTGTAAGAAGAGATACTTATGTTAGTTAACTGACTTTGTATCAATTACATAAGCTCTCTATGCCTCAATATACCAATCTGTGAGATGGAGCTGTAATTAGAAATAGTTTAGGTAAAGCTGCCTTTCCCAGTGCCCTGGAGCACAGCAGAAGCTCAATAAATAGAAGCTGTTGTTATGATTCATGAGACCATGAAGTCAGAAACTGTCTTACTCATCTTTGTATTACTGTCACCCAGCTCTGCAGACAGAAGTTAACAGACTCTCAATGAGTATTTCACAAATAAGAAAACATTCTGTGCTTCAACTTCCCTTAGGACAATATGATATGAATCAAGAGGTCTTGGTTCCTGAGATGCTAGAGTCCTTTTCTGTTGTTGCTATGAACATTCTGACCATATTCTATCCCTAATCCTGACTTACAGAACTCATACCAATTCCAAAGCCTCAACTTGTCCCTCTCAAACTATTGACATGGTAGTTTCATTCCCCTCTTTGCAGAGCCCGTCCCTGATCCCATGGATCAGTAATTCCTGCTGAGCCTTCCATCATGGGCTCCAATGGACTAATTACATATTGGCTATCCTGAGAACCAGACATCATTTAATTTGCTTCTTTAAATATACACACAGACACACACTATGTGTGTTATGTGTACAATTTTTTTAGTCAGGGTTACATATTTTTGGAATGCAATCTGTTTATAAGTTGGCCACAGGCTGTATGGGCCTTTATTGACCTGCCTAATTCATGACATCTTGCAGCTAAACACCTCTCAGCTGGTACAGAGGATCAGGGATTATTAATCACTTATTTGAAAGTTTTTCTGCCCTTGTGCAGAAAATACAAGACTAACATAGATCCTCACCCTCCTCCCTTCCCAAAATTAGTTGTGGAAAAAGCCCTCACTACTATTAACATCTTGATGTCTGAATTAGATAGATGTAATGCCAGTTTTGCTCCTAATATTAGATATCTAACATTTTAACTGTTACATGTGAAATGTATAGGACAGTATGATCCTAAGTTCATTCTGCATGAAAGATTAGAAAGTCTCAATTCATAATAAAAATACTAGAAATAATTTTCATTTCCTATTCTAGTGTTGGCATTTATTACCTAATAAATCCACACCATGAAAAGCATAGTTTTCTCTCTACCAAGCTGCATACAATATTGCTGTGATGGTGCTCTGTGTCTTAGAAAATATTTCAAATTTTAAATAAGATACTTGCCATGATTAATGTAAGATACAGAGGGTACATGCTACTGAGATTTTTTTCTCATTTAAACCTAACATATTAAATCCAAACATTACTGCCAACCTACCAGGGACTTTGAGATCTAGACATCTCCTGGGATGACAGACAGATCTGTTTATAATTAGTTTTTCATTAAATGGAATTGGCACAGTAGACATACTGTTTAATAAACCTTTCGCTTGCTTAACATGCAGGCTTTCTTATATAATCCTAGGATGAAATGGTTGAATGTAAATTAATTTTTGTATATTCATGCTCTCCTGTGACCCGTCCCATTGATTTGCCCTAGAGTTGCCTCCAGCTTAGAGCAACTGGCCATTTACTTACTACACTGTAAAATTTTCAGCCCATAAGGGATGAAATTCAGCCAGCTCTATGTCTTTTCCACTAATTAATTTTTCTAAGATCAGAAAAGGCAGTCTTTTTCCCTTAAGAAATTATGTTAGAATTTTTCCATGTGAAGTAGTCATCTGGAAAGGGAAATACCAAGTGGTTGTGTATGTATTGGGGTGAGAAGAGAAGGAGGGAAAGGAGAGAGTCTTCTCTGGAGATGAGAGGGCAGGATGATTATGGAACTTGGCTCTGGTCAAAACACCCAGGGCTAACAGAATCTCATGGAAACCACATATCAATAAAAGTTAAATGAATTTCATCTTCTCCCCAGAAGAATCAGCACAACCTTTCCTGCACCAAGTAGTGGTGCTATCAAAGAAGCTGTAATCGTTCTGGGAACATTTAAAAAAAAAAAATACAACTTTAACCTCTAACCAGAACATTATTAACTTCCATTTAAATACAAGAACATGGTTAACTCTATAAAAAGTTTCCTAAAGTCTAAGTCAAGCTAGGTAATAACTCCACATTTATTTATATCCACCTTGTTTCAGAGCAAAATGAGGCAAAAGGAAAATGAGGACAATAAAACTGGATGGAGCAAACATCTTGACTAATGTACTAATATGTTGTGAGGTCTTTGTTGGAGGGGGGTACAGATTTGGCTCCAAGCATTCTAGCAGAAGGAAACATAATCTTTACAGCATATATAAAATCCACAACCTAAAAACAAACCAGCTGCCTAGAAGTCTCACTATTCCTGGTACAGAGAGCAGAGAAACCATAACCCAACAAACCAGGCCCTCCAAGGCATTCTGAGAACAAACCAGTGGCACATGCCACAGGCCTGCCTTGCAAGGGTCCTCAATAGAGACCAATAATGAGATCAATAACAGTCATCCCCTACTATAGTCTTGGCATGGTGCTAACTCTCCAAAGCAGAAAATAGTTGTTTCATTTTACAGGTAGGGACACTGAAGCTTAAAGACGTTGAGTAACTTTTCATGGTCATGTAAACAAAGAAGTGACTGAGCTGGGCTTCCAACCTAGGTCTGTGTCCCCACCATCGGGCCACACTGTTTCTCCAAGAGCATCACAACCAGTGAGACTCTGTAAAGCAATTTATGGGAGTGGGGCCCACTGGGGAGATCTGATTTAGTGATCTTTTCTATTCTCATTCAACTCAGCACTGAAAGAAAGAGTGTGAAAGCATAAGCCAAGGCACAGGACTGGATGAGAGATGTCTCACAATTGCTGGTTCCTTGTAGTTCAATTGCCTGCAAGTTCAGGAAACGGGGATTTATACTATTGTGTTTCTGCTTTCTAAGGCTGAATTTGCTTGTTTCTTCCCTTTTAACTTTCTCTCCATAGTGTTCTTCTTTGTGTCTATCTCCCTTGGCTGCCCTCATTTCTCCTATTAATTTCTCTTGTGAGGATGTTTTAAAGCAATTAGTGTTTGGACTCTGTAGGATGCTAGGTGTTCAGAAGGAAAATCAACACAATCTGAGCGAGCCTTCCAAGACAGCAGTTACGTTCAGGCAGCCAGAGCGGCAGCTACTGCAGTGGAAGACAACCTACTAAAAGGTGAATCATAAATGGAGAGATTTGGAATTGACACACCATGTGACTCAAGGTAAACCATTTAGCCTTTGGGATCCTGGTTTCCTCAGTATTTCTATAAACCTGTCTTTGTAGGAAATAAGTGAAGTCTTCTAGAAACTCAAAAGAAATGAAAAAGAAATTTTAGGTTAAGCCTTCAGGAAATCAGGCTGGACTTTAATGAAAATGGAAAGCATTTTATAGATCTCTTCTAATGCCTTCAGGCCACTGATCACTGTTAAACATTTTGCAGGCTGTAGGCAAGAGGCTTTCTAATTTTTTCTGTAAGATCAGCAGAGATAATAGATGAAAGAGATCCACCTCCACCTAGCAAGTGTCAATGTAAACTGCAGGTGTTAGGAGGTGGGATGTGCCAGATTAACGTCACTAAATACCTGAGAGAGAGACAGAGATAGAGAAGCTGTACTCACTCCAAGGGCAGCTGGGTAGGGAACATCTGATGGGAAAGTGAACGAGGGGCCAGTTGTCACTGGGCTGCTGGGGGGTGGGGTCACAATTAACCCGGTGGTACTTATATGAACCTGCCAAGAAAAAGAAAAGTTAATTAAAAGACAACTACATTTAATACAACAGATTACTGGCTGAACCTTGGGGAGGCAAATCATAATTTTAAAAAAATCTGTAGTTTCTAGTATTTGGGGGAAGGCAGAATCTCTTGCAGCTTATTCAATCCACATTTACTGATTACCTAATTTGTATTCGGAACTGGGAGGTAATGTGATAATATTGGCCACTGCTGATTTACATACAGAATTCAACTGCTGCTGGCTTTCATAACTTGGGAGGCTACTGTGAACCAAACTGACCTTTCAGATGGTTAGTCGGCTGCTTGCTTAGCCCACTAGCAATTTCCCTGAAGATCCTATTAAGGTAGGTCATGGCTGAACACTCACCTGTCTATCAATATGTAAATCTATGTGAAGTGCTTAAGGTATTTTGTTATTCTCAGGATCATTTTTCATGACTTCTACTTTTCAGTGGGGATGCATAATTAAAATGCAGCTGCCTAGACATGCCTAGAGCAGGTAATTATTTATAAAACCTTTAAAGGAACAATGTCAAGCCAAATTAGCTGTTTTCAAAGGTGTCTTATCCATGATACTATCCAAGATTAATTTACTAGAAAGAAATTGAGTTATTCAGGTCATTTCATTGCCTGTGTTCAGTTACTCGTTCAGTTTCACTCAAGCTGCGTATCAGGTCCAACTGCAGAATGCAGGCAGGAGTAGGCGTGTGGGCCTGAACAAATGGGATGGTTTTCCTCCACTGTTAAAGGAATGTGGTTGGCTGGTACCTTGTTTCCCCCAAGGAAACGATACACCCAAAACGCTAGGCCTTTTGTAATAAAAACTTAATCCCAAACATACTTCCCTCAATTCCCATATGTTGAGAAAAAGATTATCAGGACAAAGAAAAGCTCAGAGATTAGTTCCCAGAAGGCCTGAAGGAAATTTTGAGTTTCCTGCTTAGGTTAGGCCCTGCCAAGGCCAGGGATAAACAGCATCACAGCATACAATTTATTTTCACCAATAAATCTGTGTTATATATGGAATTCACATCCTTTTAAAATCACATCTGTGCCTGTTAGCTCACACATTGATCGAACTGGAGGCTTAAACTTAGCAGATCTAAGGGATGCCTAACAAGAGTTTCTCCCCAAACCCTTCTTTTGTCTCTTCTGTGAACCAAAGTCTATTATCAATCAATTTCTAATGGGAAGCACACTGATTTTCATTCTAGGATAAAATCCAATGGTCTTTACCTGTTTTAACCAATAAATCTGTTTATATACATAACCCAAGGACATTTGTAAGTTGGCATTACATAAGAGTCTTTCTGAGAAGATACAATGAAGCTCACTTCAAAGTGCATGCCATTATCATGGAATCAAAATACAGCTTCCTGGGCCCGACCCTACAAATATCTAAGAAAGATCTCATGACTGACCAATGTTTCCCTAAGAGCTGCAGACTGGGAGTCAAGATAATTAACTGCTAATGAGCTCATGGTCTTAGACAAGACACTTCACCCCCCTATATGAGCTAGACCAGAGCCCCCCTAATGTGTCCACCGTCATAGTCATGGAAGTGAAGCACTAAACATTGAGACTCCTGCAAGCACCAGCGAACACAGGGCCTCTCCTAGTATTTGAGTAAAGGAAGAGATAAAAGTCACCAAAGAATGATTAAAAGCAGAAGCAACAGAAGTAAATTGCCTGAAGGTGAGCATGCCCAGAATAAATGTCCTGAATAGGGACAGACTGACTTTCTGCTGTTCTTTTCCTCATGGAACTGCAAATTAGTTGGGCTCCTCTACAAGAAGGGGCTCTGTGAAGGGGGGGAAAGAGGTGGGGTAAGCAAATGCAAATGAGTGGGTGCATCTCTGGCTTCCCCTGAAGCCACTGACAATACAAATATGCCACAAAACCACTTAATATCATGAATCATTCCTCCAGCTGGCAGAGGCCAAAAAATATCTTGAGTGTGGCCAGAGAAAGATAAAATGTCTTAGTTGCTTGTAGCATCATGTGCTTTTACAGATGTCAATCACAGGTATCTGTGCACATCTGTTCTGGTGACCCACCTAGACAGCACAGTCTATAAATAATCTTCTAGTTTATGTATTTGAAAGTTCAGCCTTCACTCAATAGTCACCATATATAATAGCAAGCCAGCCCTTTACTCCTTTCTTTCATTTCCCCATCCTGTTGCCTGGAACTTGGGATGTCCTGGTGAGATCTCTAAATTCCGTATAGAAACAGGAGGATAAGGTTCTACCCATATGGTGGAAAGGTAAGCTGAAAAGCACATCACACCAGCACTGACTGCCTATGTGTATTCTATTCAGGTGAGAGAAAAATGAACGCTCACTTCTTAGGCTCCTTCCTTTAGATTTTCTAAGTGCAACCAAACCTAATTAAGGAAAAGCAAGACAAAAAGTGGACCAAGATGTTAAAACATCCTTTTCCTCAGCTCTGTAAAAAAGGAAAAGAAAAAGGAAAAGAAAAAAGAAAAAGAAAAAGAAAAAGAAAAAGAAAAAGAAAAAGAAAAAGAAAAAGAAAAAGAAATGGGCCATAGCAGGAGGAGTCACATCTCCTGATCGGTCCTTTGCAAGGCAGAGGAAAAGGACAGTCCTATTTCAAAGAGTCTCACATGAGCCATCTTCCCATATCCGCTGATCTCCACAGTCAGGAGAGTGTCTGCCTGTCACACACTCCTGCTATGCTACACACACCCATTGCTTTATTATAGACTGTAGTTCCCTCCAATGCACACACTATGCTAGACAAGTAGTGTTTTCTGTAAACCTGAGCCGGAGAAGCCAGGCAGCACTTGAAACATCTCCCATCGTCTTCTTGAAATCACTTCTCCCTGAGGCAACATATTACCACCGAAAACAGAACGAATTAGAATATGGGAGGAGGGGTGGAATGGTTGAAGGGGAAACTGTTTTAATGGAACACAGAAAGAGCCTTGTTTCCTAAGCTACTCCAACCAAAACAAAAATAGCTCTACTTTTATAGTCTTCATTCCCAGCTCTGGTGTGGCACCGTCAGACATGCTCACACCTGACTGCCGAGTTCTCTACAAAAGACATAAACTCGAGCTTTATCCTCCCTTTCTCTTTTAATTTTGTCTAGTGCCAAAAGATTACTGTCTATTTTTTTAAAGCTATTCCTATTCTGAGTTGCCACTATTCTTACCAGAAACTTATCTTTTTTTTTTTTTTAAACAAAACATCATTGTACAAATGTTGCTAGGTCACAAAATAAAAAACGCAGTCAAATGATCCAATTTTCTGTTAGTGAATGGCCAGCTTTACTAGACCCCTCTGTCAGAACCTTATTCAAAAATCTTTTGAACCTTTCCAGAGTAATCTCACTTGGTACTTCTTACTCCAATCTATAATCCATGTCTATTTTTCACATGGATATAATTAGTTACATGTAAAGTAACATAGCTCTCCTCTCTACCCATTTTCAAGGGACGCCTCATTCAATAAATATTTATTGAGTGTTTACTGTATGTCTGACACTTGGAATACATCGGTGACCACAACAAAGATGTCTGTCCTCATCATATTCATGTTCTAGTAGGCTTTGTCTGTGTGTGTGTGTGTACTAGTTCCCTCAAAAGATCAAAAGTTTCATGGCCCCACCACCTAAAAACTACCAGTGAACCACAATCCCATTCAGAAAGTGAATGCATTTAACTCGCAACATGCAGGATGAATCTAAAGGAGGTCAAATAAATGAGGCCGAGAGAACATAATTTTTAATAAAATTGGCAAGGAATACCAGAAACCATGTTGTAAATTTTTATTCTGTGGCTCACAACAGGCACTTATTAAACTGTAAACTTTCTGAGGACCAGGACCCTGTGTGTACGTGTTTCTTTGTTTAAAGGAAAATAATTTAGTTTTGTATTTTTTGAAAAACACTACAGCTGTATTATAAAGTAGAACGTAACATCTGCATGAATTTTAACAACTAAATATGAGATTTGAAAGAAATTTCTCCTACTTGTGACAGGCTACTTTGGACCGGGCTCTCTGACCTTTGAGTTGAGGAAAATATAGTGGTCATCTAACTGGATAATTACAGCAGCCCTGTGAATTAGGCAGGTAACAGTTAGGCTCATTTTGCAGTCCAGAATTAAGGCCTAACAAAGAAGCATACATGGTGCCTAGAAGGTTCTAAAAATAAGGCACTCAATAAATGCCTGCTGAATGAATGAATGTTTCCAATCATCTTGTGTATTTTTATTAACACAAGAATAATGTGCAGCAATTTCTTAAGATAGTCCAAAGCCTTGATGAACTAATAAGCTTTTTAAAAAAGCTAGGCCAATTTCTAACTTAAATTAAATGCTTTTTCACGTCCTTTCTTTTTTCTCTATAGCTCTTACTGGGAAGCCTGAATGTCGGGGTAAATTAGATGGATGCAGGCAACCGTCAACTATGGGTTTCAACCACAACATCTTTAGTTTGGATGAAGATAAAGTTTTAGTTGGCAAGATCTCCCAGAGCAGCCTTGTGAGGAAGTTCTGTAAAACTGAGCAGTTGCTTGAAACTAAGTATGTAAATCATCTTGTAATTTCTGATCCTTCCTTTGAAAATGACTGAGTAAGTTCAGGTTAATACACTCAAGTTAGTTTTCTCTTCTCCATTTTTCTACCTACAGAATGGAGAAAAGCTTTATTACATCTCAGGAAAGCTACTATCTTCTGAAGGCAAAAATAAGCAGTCTTGTTTAGCTAGTGAACAAACATGTTTGTGAATAGATCATTTTGTACCTGAGCTCTGTTCACGCCTTTTGGATGATTTACCTGAGAAGGGGCACTGCAGGAAAGGCCAGAGAGTTCACTGATCCGCGCGGCAGCCGTAGGGTTACTGGAGCTGATGAGGACAGGAGGGCTGATCTCCATGGAGTGGCGGTTCTGGGATGCCTGGGAGGATTTGCTGGCCATGGTGAGGGAAGTAAAGGAGTGCCGCTTTTTGGTGTTCTTCTTGGTGTCAGAGTGCTTTGGGGCATTGCTGCTCTGGGCTGCTGCCAAGGTACATTCTCCAGCATCAACTCCTGGCCCAGGAGGCTTATCCCATTCTATCAGCTGCTTAGCTGCCGAGTTAAACTGCAAACCAAGAAATCGACACAAGACAGTTACACAGTTCTCAAGGATTCACTGAGATTTCTTTTCAACCAGCTTTATCTAAAATTTAATGTCATCACTTTAGAGTTTGCATTTGCAAGCCTCTTTATATTTTTTCCATGTGGATATCTTTTCTCTCAATAGTGGCATTTCATTAGATCTGTCATTAATAGATGTTAAATCAAGAATAAACAATTCTAAGGGCAGCCGGGTGGCTCAGTTGGTTGAGCATCTGACTTCGGCTCAGGTCATGATCTCATGGTTCGCGAGTTCGAGCCCCGCGTAGGGCTCTGTGCTGACAGTTCAGAGCCTGGAGTCTGCTTCGGATTCTGTGCCTCCCTCTCTCTCTGCCCCTCCCTCGCTTGCACTCGGTCTCTCTCTACCTCTCTCAAAAATAAATAAACATTAAAAAAATTAAAAAAAAAAAGAATAAACAATTCTAATTCAACACCAACAAGGTAAAAAAAGTTTTCTCCAAGAATATTCAGAATATCTAATTTTAAAACTTGCCGGTAACAAATGAAGATTCAATTTCAGTTCACTGATGAAATTTAAATCAGAACAATTAAAAGGGTCCATTTGTCTACCTGAATACTCTGTTGTCCAATAATGGCTAGGTGTTTCCTCAGAGCACAAGTGAACACTGAAGGGGCAACTTTTGGGTCTGGTAAAAAACAAGCGAGATGACAAAGAACGAAACCATTACATGTTAACTAATATACTTCCACATAAATTAATCTCCCACTTCTGTATATTTTGGGAAAACTTCACAAAAAAGTTGGTAGACATTGTTTTTTTATTTTTTAAATGTTTATTTATATTTGAGAGAGAGCAAGAAGAGCGAGAGAGAGCAAGAACACATGCGTGAACGGGGGAGGGTCAGAGAGACGGGGAGACAGAAGATCTGAAGTGGGCTCTGCCCTGAGAGCAGAGAGCCTGAAGTGGGGCTCAATCTCACAAACCATGAGATCATGACCTAAGCTGAAGTTGAACACTTAACCGACTGGGCCACCCAGGAGCCCCAACATCCTTGATTATCTGTCATGTCACTGCATCAATTCTTCTCATATGTACTTACAGTTTAAATCATAAGGGGGTAAAACATGAAATTCAAGTCCTTTGGCAAGCTAACTTGTCTCTTTGAAAAGTTCTCTATTAAGGGTACAAGGGGTCAAAGGCTGTGCACTGGGCTGATAGCACCAGCAAGAAAGGAAAGAGCATGAAATTTGTTTTTCCTGAGGTAGAATAAAACGTTTCCACAAAACTTCCGTGATAATAAGCTGTATATAACTTACCAAGATATTACAGTAATAGGAAATCATTGAGCACATAGTTTAACCTCACATAAAAAAACATTAAGATAAAAAATAATGGACTTTTTAAAGGTAAATTTAGGTAAATATTAAGGATAATAGGGATTTTCTTATCTCAGTTTTGCATGCTCAGCACTTTACAAACAACCTTAGATAAAATATCACCATCAAATGTTATTTTCCATCTACCTCAATGGTTAGGACCATGTCTCCTTGCCCTGTTGATGAGAATGTCCTATTAGAAGAATGGAAATCTTGTCAGTCAATATGTAACAAAGTGAACTTGCTTTGGAACAACTGGCTGCTCACAAAGCTGTACTAATTGCAGCTCAGTAGCCAGTGCTTCCATAGATGACTGCAAATTGATTAACAATTTGTTCCTGTGGCTCCCCAGAGCCTTGAATTCACCCGGCCTGTCTGATCTACAGTTAGTAGGATACATCTTTTTCAAACATGAGCATGCCTCTCCTTCAGACTTCAAGGATTTTTTCCACATGATAAACTTTCAAGAATAATAGGCAGTGATGCTACCATTAACACCTATCAATGCCTGAAGTATCAATGGCAGGAGAGAGAGGAGACAGACGATCATAAGGACTCTGTGTTACGTGTTCAGGAATGAAGAAATGAGGTACTATTAAAGGGTGGCCTTAATATAACATTACACTAGCATTTGGCCAGGAGATCCAGTACTTACAAATCCTACCTTGGCCTAGCCATCTCACCTTCTGGTGGTCTCTAAGAAAATCAGATGCCGGAAGGAAGAAATGTAATGTTTAATTATTATGGTGGGAGTGGCCCAAACCTCAACAATACCAGAAGAAGAAAAGGAGTCACAAAATGCCTTCTTCTACTATAAGCTCATTTAGATCCCAAGGCACAAATCCTCAAAAGCATGACTTAATCCACATGCTGGAATCTGACCAACTAACTCAGCACTCATGTTGCATTGAGTAAGAAATAAGGGAAAGAACTGAGAAGATTTCCTTCCCATTAAGGCCAAAAATACGAATTGAAAAAACTATTGCATCTACTTGATATCAAAGTTAAATTTATTCTGGGATCAAACCATAGCTTCCATTAGCAATGTCTGCTTTGAAATAGTCTGAAATATTACCATGGTCCTGTTCATACCCAGCCAAGTGTTGCTTTAGTTAAAATGAATTAAAATTTCAGGTTTCTGTATGCCGTGCTCTGGAATAAACATAAGAAATATATTTCCTACATATATTCCCTATATTTCCTGCTGTTTTTCTCATTATAAAAATACAGGGTGCTTTCCCTCTACCTTTTCCTATTTTTTCCATTAAATAAATACATACTGATCTTTCCACTAAAATAAATACACATCGATCATTTGTTACATGATGGGTGATGTGCTAGGAGCTGGAGATCTATACATGCAGACAAATGGTTCCTGCCCTCAAGGAGCTTACAAACAGACTTATAAATAACACTCTTTATATTTTCCTGAGTTTTACTTCTTTCAGTCAACAACACACTTTTTGAGACTTATCCATATGGCCTATGAATCGGTCATTTTTTTAAAGTGCTATATAATATTCCATTGTGCAGATACACTACAATTTATGCATTCTATTGTTGATTGATATTTGGGTTCCCTTTACCTCTCCTCCTGTCCCTTCTCCTTCTCTTTCTGAAGACTTCCTCCTTCCTATAAATTTTGGCTATTAAGAACAACGCGGCCATGAATAATCTTGTGCATATTTCTTGGTGGACTAAGCACTCATCTGGATGTTTGGTATATGTCTAGGAGAGGAATGGCTGGGCTACACAACTGGCATGTTTAGAAAAATAAAGTCTACATGCAGAAGTATGTGCATACAGGCAGACCCATCGCGGTGTGGTGGAACCAGCAAATTGCAGAGAGAAGACCACAGTTCTGGTCTTTTGTCTCTCTTAGCTCTCACATGTGTAATGCATTATGTCACTTAAACAGATATAATTCATTTTTCTATTTCACATCTTTCATTTTTATTTCTCTAAATCACCTATTATATTTTTCCTGCACTTCATTTTTACACACAGGCAGTCATATTTGTTACTAGAATGCTGCCATACGTTAAAATGATGTTAGGCATCTTCTGAAGCAGCAGAGGTTAGTACTTAAAAATGCTATTTGCTGCCTTTGTAAGTTCCAAGGAAAAGCACAAAGTTAAGACTATTTGGTAGAGGCTTCAAGTAAATCAGGCAGAAACTTAAAGAGGCTTTTATTGTAAATGTACCTTAACATTCAGCAACAACAGGAGAGCAAGGATCTGACAGCTTTTAGTGGAATTTTGATAATGTTCACTTATGAATGTTTGTTTGAGCTCACTAGTGTAAACTTTCTGTGACATTTATCTAACCATGACCTTTTAGTTTAGGAGTACACTTATCACCTATGAAATAAATTTGTATCCTAAAATACCTTCTTTCCAGCATTTGGTAAGGAGTATCTGATGAGACCTGGTTGCCTACAAGGTAAAATTCAGTACATTGGAGCTAAAGTAGGGACAAATGAGATTTGTTAATCTTAAAACTGCAATGTCTTTTTTTTTTTGGAAAATCTAAAATTTAGATGGAATATTATCAGAAAGATAAAGAAGTATGAGAAAGGAAATACAGACAAAATATTGATAATACTAACAACAGCAACAAGACAGCTGAAGAAGTATCAAATAATCTGTGGCTGAAGCTGTCTTCGCTAAAGAGACTATGATTTTTTGAAGAAATTTTTAACGTTTATTTATTTTTGAGAGAGAGATGGAACACCAGCAGAGGAGGGGCAGAGAGAGAGGGAGACACAGAATCCAAAGTAGCTCCAGGCTCTGAGCTGTCAGCATAGAGCCCGACGCAGGGCTTGAACCCACAAGCTGTGAGATCATGCCCTGAGCCGAAGTCGGATGCTCAACCGACTGAGCCACCCAGGCGCCCCTAGAGATTATGACCTTTTTAAAAGATGGAACTTACATTTTTTAAAAAGGAAAAAAATTTTAATGAAAATGAAACTGAGTAGTCACTATTTGATATGAAGCTTTACAGATGTATCTGTTAGTTTTTGAGCACCAGAGAATACAAACAGTAGGTCTGATGGAGGAGCCTATACTAATTCACAACCCACTAGAGTATCCCTTGAACGTAATAGGTCTTTTATGACAAATAAAAACTTTAGAAAAACATATTATAAAAGTAAGATATGTTCATGATTTTTAAAAAGGAAATACTATAGAATAATATGAAGTAATAAGTGAAAGGCCTTGGCCAGTTTCCACATGTCTCCCCCTAATTCATTTCCCAGATGTATCTAAGTTTAACAGTTTAGAACATATCCCTCCATATATTTTCTATGTAGATATTGTTAAATATGTAAAATATGTATTTATTAATTTTTAACACAAATGAAACCAACTGGTATATACTATTCTCTCCTATAACAATATCTCATCTTTCTGCATCAATAGAGACAGCATGGTATTTCATTGTACAGAGATGTCTCATTTAATACATCTTGGCATGTTTGTGCAGGCATATCTGCAGGGCAAACTCCTAAAAATGAAATTGTTAGATCGAAGTATAAGCTTAAAACACTTTTTTGAAGGATATTACCAAATTGCTCTCCAAAAAGTGGTCAATTTTCATCACCTCTGATGGTGTATTTTTTTATGG